CGTCTTCCCCTATTTACCTTCTGTTGCGTCCACTTCCCATATTTGGCTGGTATCTGAGGCTGGATCCAGACATTCAGGCATGTGCCGTTTGTGGCCCCATAAACCTCTTTACAGTGCCACAAACTGTACCCCTTGCATGTTAAACTATATGCAGCACTGCTAATTTGCAGTGCCAGGGCAAAATTTGCTACTGGGATTTCCCAGTAGCAAAAAAACCCCTGAAGAAAAGAGTGGCGCAAGGCACACCAAAGTGGTGTGCACGAGGACAAATGTGGAGGCAGGGGAGCCTCCATCTGTGCACTGCGCCCCAGCCAGCCACTCCCTGGCTGCCTGCTCCCCTGTCTCCATGTGCCTCAGCGTGGGGGCTCTGCCTGCTCCCCCGTCTCAAGGCACACAATGCCCTAGCCAGCTGCTGCATGGCTGGCTGGGGCGCAGGGTGCCTCAGTGCAGGAGCAACATGCGCTTTAACATGGGGGGTCTGCCTCAGAGGCTCCACGCTGAGGCATGCAGAGCCAGGGGAAAAGCCAGCCCAAGGGTGCCTGCACATGGAGCAGCAGGACAATGTGTCCCACTGCAAAGTACACAGGCAGAAGTGTGTACTGCAGCACAAATTTGTGCTGCTATTATTTGGGTGGCTGCAAATGCACACCCCTGCTTGTGTGGATGTGGCCTAAAAGTTTCTTACTCAGTCACTACATACTGTACCTTCAACACATGATCCTCTACATTTAAAGACCCATTTTTGACCAAGGGAAGCTAGTCTGTTAGTTTTTAAAAGTTCCCAGAAGATGTTCCTTTTCTCTTAAACCCTGCTTGCCTGTCTGTTTTTCCTTAGATTGGGAGCTGCTTGAGACAAGACCATTGTTCCTTATAACTAGTACTACCAGCATCTGATAATAGGTTTGTTGCACAAAGGGCAACCAAACAACCAAATCATTCTTTTTTTGCATCAAAGTATAAAATCAAGTGTGCTAAAGTCTATCTATCTTACTTCTAAGGATCCCTATTTCAGTAGTGTCCAAAAGTCTCACAACCTTTAAATGTATTTATCCTCACAAGACCCCGTCCCACTCACTCTTGCTCCATGCACATCAACCCTAATGAGATAGTGAGAAAGTCCAAGATACACTGGAAACACAGGTTTTGTGTGCAGAGCCGGGATACCCCAAAGGCATCCTTTTATATTTGAGATTGATGCACACAGAGCAGGTGTGGGTAGGTAGGTATGGCTTGTTTCCCTGGCACTCTGCTGCTATAATATAGAAAGACACTGTGGCATGGATTTCAAAAGCACTACCAGCTATTGGGTGTATCTACATGAGATGCTAAATGTGCAGTAGATTAATTCTACTGTGCATTAGTGTGGCAGGCAAAAACTATGCTAATGTGCTAATGCACAGTAGAATTAATCTACTGCACATTAGCATCACAAAAAGAAAAGTGTATGCTGGAACTACTATGTAGGAGTGCTGATTATGGTGCATTAAGTTAGTACCTGTTATTATGGAGCATTAAGTTAGTACAGGTAACTTAGTACCTGTACTAACTTAATGTGCCATAATTACAGTGCATTAATGAACATGTAGACAGAGCCATTATGCATCTTATTTGCATTGAAAGGCACCTAATTTCTACTTTTTCCTTTAAAAATGTCCTCCATTGAAACTATAAGGGATAACACTTGACATGTAAGCCACTAGGTGTCACCATGTACAAAACACACATTTCCTATTACAATACAAGTGAGAGGAAGTGAGAGAGCCTGTATGCATCTTGACTTAGACAGGGGAATGGCTAATCTTACCCACCCCATCTATAAATAGGATTTAAATGTGTGAGTTGGGGGGAGAAGGGGGTAATTTGGTGTGTGTGTTAGGGCAGGGCGTTATGCTATATGCTTGAGTTTTGCCATTGAATCTGAAAGTAGAAAGTGGCAACTACTCCTTCTCACAAATTATCATTCACAGTCCAAGTCAGGGGGAGTGCATATAATTAAAAATGAGGTCTGATGTGCTCCATATGTATTGTTTTTCTTCATCAAAATGTCTTGGGTTTCTGTATAGCGGAGGAACACAGTCAAACTGAAAGTATAAAAATTTACATACCCAGGGAAAGCAAATACATTACTGAACACTGGGGAAATAATGATAGCAGGATACTGTAGCAGCATAAAAGTTGATCAGCTATAAAAGTCATCCTTCAGGGTGAAACTTTTCATTAAGCAACTTAGATGGAAGAGTATTTATTATATTTAAAGGAGAATCAGCTAAGCTTTTTACTTTACTGCACAAATGCAAAACACTGAGTTTCCCCATTTAACAATTTATTTCAATATATTTATCTTGCCATCATGCTGATAAATACACATCCAGCCCCCAGGCAAGGCTAAAATCTGAAGCAGCTCATTTGCTGAATGCCCTTGAAAAACCTATGCCAAAAGTCTACAGTACCAACACTTTCTTACCGACAGTGTTCAGGTCCAGTTTGGTTCTAGCTTGTGCAGGATTATTGAGTACACAACAATCATTACCTCTTCTTCTCCAGGGGTATTTCTGCCCATTATAACAGTTAAATACTGCCAGAAACTAGAATAAATGCATTTGATTAGGCCCTGAATCTTCTACCACCTATGGCAATTCTGTGAACAAAATGACTACAGAAGCAGCCCACCCCTGTGTCCAAATTGTAGGCAGCAGGCACAATGGACAGCAGTTCCCAGAAAAGAAGACTGAGTAAAAGTCTCTTGTACTCACTCCTCAGTAAAACTGCAAGAGCTAGAACTAAGAACTGACTTGAAAGGAACTGTTAAGAGCTTGCAATAAAAAGGGCACCGCTGTCACAGGATCACAGAAGCCTCATCTTAAATAAATGATAAGAAAAAGGTCTGAGCATTGATCAGATTATATAACCCCTCAAATTAATCTATAGTTGAAACAATGTGATGCTGCCT